CTCCCGCACCCTCAGCAGAAGATGTCGTTTGGTTTTTACAAAAGAAAAGGAAAACTGAATAAGGGTGCCTGATATTCCAACTAGTGATAAGCAATACTGCTATTTTAAGAGAATTTACTTACTGACAGGGGAAAAAAGAAGACATGCCACTGCATATTGAATGTTAGGGGAAAAAAATCATATTCAAATATTTGCCTTCATAGCATTTTATTAGTAGTATGCTAACCATGAATACTATCTCCCTAGATGATCTGAAAAATGTCACCTATATTCAGAGGCAGGGTTATCATTTCCATTAGGGTCATCAAATGAGGCCTTGCTTTGTTCTTTTATTATCAAACAGGTAGCACCAGAAAACCAATAAATAAAATTCCAGGTGTGGAAAACAATCCTGCTACAGTACTGTTGTTCTGTTTACCTTATTTACTGTTGATCCTTTTCTATCCTCATTCCTACAAATTAGGCAACACAGGGATTGACGGAGAAATCACACCTTTCTCTCACGTGGCTTACACATTTTTATGTCCTTTTGACAGCAGCCAATTTCGCTATTGCCACAATTTCAAATCCTCGACTCCAAGAGTGTGGCCACGAGGTACATCAGATGCCTCAGGATGGCTGCGGTTGCACATTCAATGACGCTGTTGCTTGCGTTTACTAAGCAGCCCCTCTTTCTTCTCTCGCCTCCAGCTACTTGTTTCCAACTCCACACTACACTCTGTTATGTCCAGTTGTTTGTGCAAACAGGTGACGAATCAATTCAATTGGGTTTTCCTAAACCGCATCGTTTTATGGCCAAGCCTTCTCAACTGTTGCATGAAATCCAAGGCAATTCCAATAACACCAATGAGACTGATGTAACAAAATAAAGTTACTGCTGTGTAAAGGGATGTTTGATTGAAGCAAATCAGTTGGGAAACAGAAGATGGAAAAGGAGAAATGAAGAATAAACAGCAAGAACCAGAGCGTATGGGTAGTCAGACTTACTTTGTCGTAAGTAAATGGCAAATTACTAACTAAAATATATAAATGTTCTGAAACAAGTCATAGAAATTCTCTCTCATAGGACTGATAGGGAGCTAAAAAGCTGCAAGGCAGGACCACTGAGGAGGACAGCCTGCTGTTTAGCAGCCAGAGTGCTTTCAAGAAAGGATGCCTGGAAACCCCAAGCATTTCAGGCCTCAGTCCCCTGGCAAGCTTTTAAACCATGTGCATTATTAGGGCATCTCTAACCATATAAAAAGTAGGTTTTCCCCATAAACTAGTAACATTAGGGCACTGACAAGTAAAAATGCAAAGGTATTACATTTCTAGCAGTGCACAGCTCTGGTTGTTATTCAAAAGACAGCATACCCCTGATTCACACTACTCCAACCCACCAGCTTTGCATGTATGCACAAATACACACACCCGCAATTCTCTCTACGAAATAATGGCAGACCAGTCACCCTCCCAGTGCTGTCTGATCACAGCCTTACAAATGCTCTTCTCTCAAACCAGGCCATGGACTTAGCATCTCTTGTCGTGCCCTCCCACATCTGACCACAAACAGGATTGTACCTGTTCCCTTCCCAGGTGACCACCATTTAGTTCGGGTTACCCAAGATGCCTTCTCCAGCAGCAAAGAGCACTTGTGGCTGAGCCATAGAAACAGCTTTCTGGGCGAGAAGATTTCCATCATACTGTTCTGTATGAAACTCCCTTCTCTCCTTGGGAACAACATGTAAGACCCAATTTAGGAAGGCTGTCTTGCAGGACCATCCTCTCCCAAAGGTCTCTAGTTAGACTGGTCCATGCAAGTTGCTTCTGACCAACAAAATCCCTACTCACCCCTCCCGCCATGGTGATTTTTAACTGTTTAACAACTGCAGGCTCAAGCTTTGCCAATGCAACAAAGCAGATTTTGTCCATAAGCAAGACTCGTTATGGTTAGTGGCTTTGCCATGCCTCAGTTCTGTGGTTAGAGGTTTTATCTACACCCACTAGTTGCTCTTCCTGTTTTTTTTTTCTAACTTCCCACTATTTTTGAAATAACATCTGCATTCAAGTACCACCACTAGTGGAAAATACCTCGTCATTCTGCGGAAGGGATTATACAGTGGTGTTTGCTGGAACAGCAGAGCCCTTGATTCACGCTAGGTCGCAGCGTGCCCCTCTTCTACCAGTGCCAGCCCTGACCAAAGTACAGCGGGGCTCCTCCTGATCCTGGGAGTCCTTCCTATGGAGTCAGGACACACAGCTAGATCAGAGAAGCATTTTTCAGGTCTTGCAGTTTAGACATTGCCTTTATGAAGTAGCAGCTCCTTTCCATGGCCATGCCCTCTACAAAGAGCAATCCCCATCCAGGTAGGCGCTGCAGAGCATGGGATAGCAATGTGAGGCCGCACAAGGACACTCCTGGTCATTACAACCCAAACACGTTACCGTAGCAAAAGTTGTTAAGTGAAGCAAGCTCCGCTAGACTGCCAGACCATTCCAAAAATACCTGCCAGCTGGGACACCACAAGACTTCTTTCAGAAACTTGAACAAACCTCATTCCTTGGCTATTCTCCAGACATCTTCCATTCCCTTACTGTTGTGTTCAACCCCAAATAAGCAGTAGGCAAGTCTTAAATGGTATGTTGAGGTTAATGAACACAGTTCTCAAGGCATAGTAGCATTTTCCTCCTGTTGTCGTTGTCTATACAGTTTAGAAATTGATTTTCAAAGCCAGGTCTTCATTGCTGCTGGCACCTACCTGAGCTGAATCCTATAGAGAGGTAAGAGCTGCTCACTTACTTCACTTTTTTAATAATGTTTAATCTTGCAAAAGAAACTTTCTTGTTTCCACAGGAGTTCGTGCCTAGCAATCACTATTCCAAAAACATCTTACTGGTATAATTCTTTTTACTTTATAAAAGTTTAAAAATACAAGTAAAGGTCATATGCTAATTTGACATTTCAAAATCATACTCAAACCTGAAGCTTCATAAAAGTAAGTTTGATTATGACACGATGTACTCTACATATAGGAGCAGCTTAAAATTACTTCTTATTGCTTTATGAACAGAGATTTTTTTGCAGTAAGAAAGACATAACTTTAAAAGGCCTTAAGTAGTGGAGAATACCTAGCCAAAGAATTTTTATATCATTGTCTGGCTAAAATAACAGCCGATGTACCAAATAAAGTACTTTCCAAAAATTCTTGAGCAATCACTGTTCTCGTTTCACCAAATGGCCAAACAAAGAATTTAGAACTAAAAAAACCCAAACCTCTTTTGTCAATGTTGTTAGTAAAATACACACTTCACCAATTTTTCCTTGGAATGTGTGGATTTTAACATACCAAAATAGAAAAGCAGAAAATCTCTTTAAAAAAAGGGGGGGGGGGGGGGGGGGGAGAAACCTGTAATTTCTTAGGAACGCTGAAGATGTGCATAATACCTAGGCTGCTACTTACCATATTCACCTCAACTTCTCATTACCATCCTGTATTCCTCCAACCTTATCTTCTCTCCATGTTCTTTCATTTCTTACTGAGTGTGTAAAATCTTCCGAGCAGGTTTCCTTTTTTACACAAGGCTTGACACAACAGAGGGCATCTTTCCAACACCAAAGTAATATAGAGCAATTGATGTAGATAATACTATTCTTTCACAAAAGGAAATTGGATCTTAAGTTGTCCTTTTATATTAGCTGGTTTCACTCATCACTGATTTTTCAGTACGGTTGATTCTGCCTCAGAGGAACCATCTGACTGACGCTGAAGGATCTGATGGCTGGTTGGGGACAGCTGGGATTTTGGACAGCTAGAAAAGTGTAAGCTATTTAAATTATTAATTAAGCATAACAGGCCAATAATTACGTTTTAAAAATGACCCTGAAACAATCAGCTGTTAATACCACCATGAGATTTCTGACTTAGCAACAAACTGAGACATATTGAACCTCCTCCTGAGAAAACCCAATAGTTTCAGGTTGGCTGCAGATGAAGAACACCACTTCTGTCATATTCACAAGGCTTTCTTCGTAGCCAGTGCGCTGGAAAAGCAGCAGGACAAACGGCTGTCCAAGGCACAACTTTGTAACCATGACAGGATCAGGTAGTATTTAGATTCCAATCTTCAACTCCATTTCCAGACTGAGAAGCTTACAGCCTGCCTGCTCCTGCCCTCTACATACAAACCACACTCAAGGAGGCTGGATTCCCAGCTGCTGGAATTAGCTGCTCAGCTTCTCAGCGCAGCAGCTCAGAGAGCAGAGGGAGGGCCAGAAGGCTGCGACTTGCAAAGGGACTCCACAGAAAAAGACAGATTAAATAGGTCATCAATTCTTAAGCAGCTTGAAGAAGGTCATTGCCTTAGAAGGGTTCTGCTGCTTACCTCAAAGGAGCAAAGTGGTTTCCAGATCGCTAAGATTGTTCATTCCATTCCTCTATTTGCAATTAAAAGATAATCTAGAGCCAGTCATAGCAGTGGATGCAGAACAGACAATATCATCATTTCTTGTGCTGTTTCATAGAGTACAAAGGGAAAATGAGACATGCAGCAGTTACGATTTATTCCCTACTTGAGTCTCATACGCTCATTTAGTACTGGAGGAGACCTTCTTGGGAGAGCAGAGGAATTCTGCCTGGGAACTTAGAAGTTCCAGGTAGGGAATGCCTTGCAAAACTGAAAGCAAGTAAAGAACCTTCTCATCCCTTACAGTTGTAGGTGAGGTGGCTCATGTCCCGACAGCTTAAGAGGTAGGCTAAATAAAATATTGCAGCAAGAAGTATTTTGCCTGGTAACTACCTTCACTGTTATATTATTTACTTATTTTGAGTATATGCGTAACTGTTAGTGGGGGGAAAAAAAAAGAAAAAGGAAAAAAGCATTTTCCTTGTTTTGATAACACCACTGCTCCAATAGGCAAAACATGAAATTGAACAGTAATATAGGAACTGGGTCTGCAAATAAGACACTGACAAGTTTTTATTTTAATTTTTATTACAAAGTTATTAAAAAATAATCTGCTAACATTTTAAGTTTCATTTTAAAACCTTCACAGCTCATCAGAGTACCAAAAGGGGAATGAATGTTAAGAAGGTATGCAATGCATTTTTTTCCCAATTATAAACAGAACTCAGGAGCTTGCCATCAGGAGAATCAGCTCGTCCAGAAGCTCTGCTTCTACTGGTGAAAATGAGTAAGTGGCAGAGGCTTCATTAAGTCTCCTTTTTTTTACTTTTCAAAGCAAATCTAAGGGCAGCAAAGGACACACAAAGTGTACTGTTCTAAAAAAAAAAAAAAAAAAAAAACAAATCATTTTTATGCTAGCTGAAAGATACAGCTCATTGGCATGGCTTTTTAAAGTTCCAAGAACATAAGGAAAAAGAATTTTTAAGATACTTATAATCTGTTAAAATTTCAGTTAAATCTAACAGCTTCATATGCAGATTTGTAAGATGCTGAAACTGACAATTTACAATGTATTCAAGAATGAATACCACATAGAGAAATAGGGATTTTGCTATTTTAAAAGTGTAATTCTACATAGAATGTGGTCAGTCAACAATTCATTTGCAACACAAGCACCGCTCCTTTTATTTCCTCTGAGGCAGACAGGCAGATACAAACATGTAGGAGGATACACTGCCTTCATAATTATTTTAGTTCAAAATCCACTGTTTTGCAACAAACAATCTTAAGGAAACGTGTAATTCAGAAGTGTTTACTTCCATTGCCACTCTTCAAAAAGAATACATTACCACTCTTTAAAAATAATACATTACGAGTGCAACCGTAGCACTTATGATGCTCAGATTTGATAGTTGCAGTGAGAATACTTTAAAATTTCTTTTCTTGAGGTTTGAAAAAAAGCAGGGATGGACTTACCCTCTAGCATCAATATTTAAATATCCCAAGATCATCAAAAAAAGGACAAGCTTGTACAAATGGAGATACCATTAAACTAATAATCCTGTCACTTCAAGAACTTTAACTGAAGTGCAATTGGTTTAGTTTCTGTTACCTTCTGAGCACCATCAGTAATAAAGGCAAGTCCCAGAGCCTGCTGGGAAGTTGCGGAATTTCAGAATTAAGCTACAAGACCCAACTCAGTTTTCATTCTGCAGAAGAGTGAAAAAAATCAATGTGCTGAAACTTCAAAACCTCGTTTCCCCAGCTGGTCCAGCCAGGCTGTAGGTTGCGAGCAAACAACTCCAAGCATTCCACATCTGGCTTGATAAACTCTGCCAAAACTGCTGTGCAAGACAAAAAAAAGGAAGATAACAATAGTGGCAAAGGTACAAATAACAACAGTAAACAGATAAAACCTCCCCTGTGCTGCTAGTGGATGAAAAACTGAGTGTTTCATTAAAAAAGGGAGAGACAGCAAATTAATTTCAGGGGTTTCATCAAACAGCTGGACTATTTATAGTGAGAAAGTCATTTTAAATAAGTACCCTTGAGATTCTGAACAATACTGTCAAGGCCTTCAATAGCCTTGATTTATTGGTTTTCATTTAGAGAAAGGGAATGAGGATTTATTTCAGCCTCTACATAGATGAGTTCTGAATTTTTCACTAATATCAACCAAACGCCTCCTAAAGACTCCTTTAGCTCCTATGGCACAGGGGCAACATTTCTAAAAATAAATAAATAAATAAAACCTTTCCTTAATTAAGATCACACTCTTTTCCTCTGCATCTTAAAGGGGATAAAAGCTTTTTTTTTTTATGACAACTGTTAAAAAGTAAAATAAGAAATACCAGTTAAATAAGCATAGCACTAGAAGGGCTGTAAAAATAGGGGACTTCTTTTTCCCTAATACCAATTTGGCAACTGAAGAAATACTTCTGTAACTGTGTTCTTCCATTCAGCAACATAAATCTCAAATTTCTTCTACAGTTGGGCATTTTTACTGCTTAAATCCAAATCAATAGATGCCTGTCATTAACATCAGTTGTGTCACTGATTATGACTGGTATTCTTGGGAGTGACAAAAAGAAGGTCTTGCATTTTGCCTGAGAAGTATTATTGCAAGCAGTTTATTGTTAAACGTGTTACTTTTCATACAGAGCCATTTACTCTGTGGCTGGGAAAACCAAATTCTCAACTAGGTTTCAGGAAATAGCAACAAATCTATATTACACATAAAAATATGCATGAGAAAAGCAAAGGTTTAAGGAGGACCAACACAAAGGAGGCAGAAAGACTGAAAAACACATCTATACTAAAAATTATGTGTGAAGTTTTTATTTTTGTTACTGAGGACAAAATAAGAAAACTATGAAACCATTTCCTTTTCCAAAGGATACCTTGGTCATTTTTGATCAGTGGTTTCTGAATTTCTGTAGCTTGAAAATACAGCTCATAAATCCAACATTATGTCACTTGACTCAGTCTCTTCAGATATGATCATTGCAGAAAGCAAAAATACATTTAATAAGCATACATCCAAGTATGAGAGGAATAATAAGCTTACATCCAAGTATGAGAGGAATGCTTTTTTTTTTTTTGATGCAATCCAAGTTCTGACTTTCTGCATCAAGTTTGCCAGTCACAGACTCCCTGTGTGAGACCCCAGCTGATCTTGTCATGGATTGCTCCTGTTGCAGAAAGATGAGCATCCACTTCACTTTCTCGGGAGTGTTAACCAACCCCAGATGCATTTCCTACCTACACGATCAAAACTTTTTCATAAATATTTTGTAATGGGTGTTTCCAGACTTTCTTGTATTTTGGCATGGCATATAGATCTATTCTCCTTCCTCCAATCTTTAACAAATGTCAGATGAATGTCTCAGATGGGTTATCATGAATTGAGGCAGGTTTTAATATAAAAAATACTGCTACAAGCAGGAATCTTATTCTAAAACCCTGCTTCTTTTAGAGGCAAGCTAAAATGTTTAAACAAATCTAACATTTGCAGAGAAAAGTCTGGGAGGTTTAGAGGAAAATGTACATTCTGACAGAAAACTTGCTGCACTGAACATTGCCATTTGGTGTCATGGGAGTTCATCTAATTAGACACCTCTTACAAGTACCTGCTTTTATACCATTTTGTAAACCCACCATATTAAAAAAAAAGTGGTAAAATGTATTGTTCTTTTTCCATGCTCTATTTAGCTAAGGCTTTCTTGTGCACAGGTTGCTGCCAACACGATCCGAGGGCTGGAGCACCTCTCCTACGAGGACAGGCTGAGAGAGTTGGGGTTGTTCAGTGGTGGGATGGCAGGGTTAGGTTAAAGGTTGGACTCGATGATCTTAAAGGTCTTTTCCAACCAAAGAGATTCTACGATTCTATGTTCAGCCTGGAGAAGAGAAGGTTGCGTGGAGACCCGACTGCGGCCTTTCAGTACTTAAAGGGGGCCTGTAGGAAAGATGGTGACAAACTTTTTAGCAGGGCCTGCTGCAATAGGACAAGGGATAATGGTTTTAAACTAAAGGAGGGTAGTTTTAGACTGGATATAAGGAATAAATTATTTATAATGAGGGTGGTGAAACATTTGGACAGGTTGCCCAGAGAGGTAGTGGAGGCCCCATCCCTGGAAACATTCAAGGTCAGGTTGGACGGGGCTCTGAGCAACCTGATCTGGTTGAAGGTGTCCCTGCTCACTGCAGGGGGGGTTGGACTAGATGGCCTTTAAAGGTCCCTTCCAACCCAAATCATTCTATGACTTTAACAAAGGTCTTCCAAAAATCTATTCTCTTGATCTCTAAGAAAGCCGATGTTGCAGGAGGTTGCACTTTTTCCACAGCAGAGAAGGAGGACACTGTGGAAAGCAAAGCTCCAAAGCTTTCAATGAGCTCTCTGTGAGCAGATCCTGACATCTGTAGGGTATTTTTTTTAATCCAAATGGGCATAAGATCATGCAGAGCTTACTGCAGAGTCAGGCTTTATATGACTTTCCCCCCCCCATATAAAAACAAAATAGAACCATTTTGTGCTTTATATGGGCTTTTAAATAGAGGAAGCAATTATGTAGGTGACAAAATTAATTACAAGCACATTTGTAACGTTGACATTTGTTCTTAAAATGTATAGATTAAAAATATCATCACAGCACTAAGTCCAGTAATCAAAAGCAGTTTTACTAAGCACCCAAAACTTCCAATCCTAAGAGAACAAATTTCAAAAGTACACTTAGGAGATTCAACCAACCTTAAAGATTAGTTCACCAGAAAGCAAAAAAGAGGTAGCCAAGAAACAGGTCAGTTCAGCAGAAGCAGGAAGCTTGTGCCAATTTTTTGATCGATTTGGTTACAGAATTGAAAAAGGAAGTCCCAGGAATCTCCCCCTCTCCTGCTGCCAGAGAGGGGCTTTTTTTAAAGTCAGAAGTTTTTTTTTTTTAAAAACAGAGATTGCATATAATTCCAGATCCCATTATAGTATGATTTTTCATTGCTAGGTTGTAGGTATTTACATAATCACATCAGGCAGTAACTTGCATCACAATGGAAATTACCATATCAAGAGGGCAATAATGTGGCTGTGTTTTGTTGGCATAAAATCTCATTACACAGGTTTCCTTAAAATAGGAAAAGTCAGTGTTCAAGTTACAAATTATAGCTGCTTTGTTAGGCTTTTATATCACCAGAAAGCTATTCTAACACACATGGATCTGACTTGCAGCCCTTAAGCAAACTCTGGAGTTTTTGTCCTCTGAAAACAGGTTAGAGGGTCTACATCAGTAGAAAACTTAACATTTAAGTTTTTCTAGCACAGGAATAGATTTAAAAAAACCAAAACACACTATTACTTCTATCCACTTACAGATAACCACTGACAGTAAGCATCTTAAACAGATGATAAATAGATTATTCTTTATAACTTGCATGTGTCAAACACTATGACAGCAACTCAGGCACCTAAACTTGGGCGTCTAATGCGCTAGGACACACGAAGCTAGCACAAAGCCGGTTGGTAGATACAACATCGGTCTTCCAGAAAAGCCACTTCCTTATGAAGCACGGCCCAGCAGTCAGGCAGGATACCTGCCATACCTGCCTACTCTTAATCCCAAACATGTACTGAAGATACATGCTGCTAAAAATGTTTAAATAAGCAAAAGGAGGAATAATCTTTGAAACAAGCAACAGTTTCCCTTATAATTTGAACTTTCATTACCTAAATAGCAAGTTCTGCATGGCAAATGGCATACATAAAGTGAAAATGACTGTCAGCTTTTCACTGTCTGATCTGTGAGCCATTCAAAGGACAAAGTACATGACTGAACTCGTTTCACAGTAACCTTTCAAAAGAGTTTGCAATGTAGAGGTCCTTATTGCCCAGTTTGTCTAATCCCTGAACAGAGTAGGACCAGAAAGAGATCTGAAACTCAGCACAAAGATGGCTTTACATCTCTGCATCTTCCCTGAGCCTCAAGTTAAACCTAGATGTTGATGCACCACCTATCAATCTGTCTAACAGTAAGGGGTCAAAAGTGCATAAGGAAGCAAGATGATATTTACTTCTTTTATTTCCAAGAACACTTTTATTGCAAGGCCTAATAAGCTAGGGTTGCTACAGGAGGAAGAAGTTCCCGATATTTCCCACTGCACTCTTCTGCTGGAACTATGCAAAGCATCTGGAACACAGCCAAGAATTAATTCCAATGTTGTTAGGCATACTCCTATATGACAATATTATTTTCTAACAAAAAATGTACATACTTAAAAACTGGAGGAGAAATGGCTATAACAAGAAGATTCTATAAAACAGGAAAAGGAAAAAAGGTGTTTGAAGTTCTACATTACTTCACATCATCTGTGTAACAGAATACCTTCTATGTCTTCTAAGAGCAACATTGAATTGAATCAGGAAGAAAACCTGTTGTTATTTGAATCAAACCCAGGAGTAATAAAATTTCATTTTAACGCATTTGCATAAAGAAGCTTAAGTACATTTACAGTGACATATTAAAGCTGTAAGCATTGAACACAGCACATGCATCACCAAAAACCCCTACAGTCACAATTTCATGGTTAAATGCACTGTAGGAACCCAAACATCTCTTTTTGATGGCTTACTTTAATTTACATCTTCCTCTTCCCCCAGAGAGATAAACTGTTATAATCAGTCATTAAGTGGCTACATATGTACCAACATACAGCCTTTATAGTAGTAATAAGAAATGAAGTACCAGACAGCATCAGTAAATACTAATATTTTTGGCTTTGTTACTACTTAAACAAAGCATAAAGAATGCGTGTGACTCATCAAGCGTCCTTCTCCTCCATTGCCAAATCTCTGCTTCTGTTTGAATTTCTTGAACCACCCTAGGATGTAGCTCAGCTGCTCTCTACTGGCCACTCTAGAATATTGTCCAGTCATGAAAGCAATACCCTTTTACAAGACTGAAGTCAAAGCATCAGCAATTAGCTTTTGTCTTACAGTCTACTTTTTCATTCCATAACCACGTTCTGAATGGAGCTGCCAAAACTGTAGGATGCACATGGATTTTTTTATAAAAACCTTGTAAATTACTGATAGTGCTCAACAGCAAATTAATTTTTCAAATAGAAACATAAATGCTATACAATGGTATCAAATCCCAGCATTCAAGTAAAGACTCAGGAAATATATAAATTAGTACAGACAATTGCTTTCAAAGCCCATTCAGGATGATCATTTATAAAGGATACCCCAATATGGTTTCTAGATTCTGCCCTACAAAATAATTGTTCTGAGGACCATTCTGGCACTAGAATTCTCTACAATATGTGCAAACTGCTGGTTTGCACCCCTGGATACCTCACAAGTTTCCTGTTTGTGTCTGAGTGTGCTGCTAAGTATTGGTTTTCTGAAGAGGCCCTAGGTGGCTGCCTCACAGATCACTACTCTACCATTCATTACCTTAAACCAACATGCATACTTCCTGTTGTAGCCCTAATTCTTAAAGATGTGGCTTCAGAACTGCAAAAAGATCCTCCTAGAATTGCCCTTTTTTTATTTTTAGCTAACCAAAGTATGTGTTTTCTACTAGTTTCTAAACTGGTATATATATATGTATGTTAATTTCATAAATACAAGGCCAAAATACAAATTTTAGAGCCTCCTTGAACGTATAACAGCTGTCCAGATCAGCTTCCTAAAGTTGTTGTGTTTCTTGAGAACAGAAAAAGGAAAGCATGTCAGTGAAGCAAAGTGTGATGCCTCTCCCTTCCAACAGCATTATGCATTTCTTCTACCTGCCTTTTCCGATGTCATTACATAGCACCATGTACACCTGAAATATTTGCAGATTCATCATTAGTTTTCCCCTTGGGGGAGGATGAAACCATTTTTGTAAGAGGTATTAAATATGTTCCTTACCATAGCATTGTAAGGCACTCAGGTGCTATAATGATGAAAGAAGTACAACTTTCTATTGATAAAATTAATCAAAGTAAGAGCGCTCCAGAACACTGTACAAAAGGTAACACATCACACAGAAATCTTCAAATCTTTGGACTAAACTCTGAAGAGTTGAATTCATACCCACATTAACTGGCTGGCTGGAGTTACTGCATCAATTTCAGTAAATTAAATACATCTCCTTGGAAATAAGCAGGGCATGCCTTGTTTGTTGCCTACTGTCAACAGTTTTAAAATAATTAAGTTTTTGGATTTAAAGGCACAACTGTACCTCAGGTGTATAAGCACCTCATGCAAAAATAAAAACATTTATTTCGGGATGATGTAATAAAGAGATTTCTCCTTTTATTAACTAAGTAGAAGATACCCTATTTTGTTTATATATTCCCAAAGTTCTGCCCCCTGCAAGGTACTGTAGGTCATTTGGCATAACTTCATACATACAGCACCTGTAAACTGTTCCTGCAGCATTTAAAAAACAAATTTAAAAAAATGCAACTTTTTTTACATGCCTACCCAAAGCATTCACACAATAATGCTTGAAGTTCTACTTTTCATATTCATTTTTAGAGACCAAGACTTAGATGACTGACAACATTTTTAGAAATGTTGAGGAACCACAAGTCCTGTTGAGCAAAATTGGTTGGCATACAGGAAATTCATGCACTTCATACACAAAAGGTATCACATTCTAGGCACATACTTTCAGGTATCCAAGTCCAATGCCCCACAGAAACATTACGCAACAAAACGTACCAGTAAGAGGGGGTTTATGTGAATGCAGACTGCAGGGTATGCTGACAATTAACTTATGTTCTGGAATTGGAAGTACATCTTCAGATTTCCTGTTGTATAAATCAGAACAAAAAGTATGAGAATGAATACCACCAAATGTGATGCTGCAGCTCTCACAGAGCTACTTTAGATGGGAGCCGACACACAGAACATTCATTCACAGTCAAACTTCAGATAAGTCTAAGGGAAGTTAAAAGTTGCTCAGCCATAATATATAAAAGGACAATTTATGAAATCACTGAGGCTTTTGACAAAACGTGGTTAACACTAGCCATACAAAGCCACTGAGAACAAACAATGTAGTCCTGTATGTTTTCATGTGTAGAAAACCAACATCCTCAAAACGGCATCAGCCTGTGCCAAGGACTCATGGTCCAGGAGAACCTGTCAGCAAAGGAATCCCAGTCCATGAGGCTTTTATCTGAGACAGTTTCCCAACACAGACAGATAAAAACGAGAAGACAAAGATTTCCATCCTTTAATCTCACTAAAGCACTCCCTTATCCCAAATCCAATAAAGACTATTTTTAGGTCCACAATCAGCCAAAAGATGACGCCAAGAGAATATTTTGGGACATTATACTCTATTATGAACAAGTGATATACACAAAGAGAATCCTAGCAGCTTCAGAAAAGACATTTACCATAAATATCATGGCATACCTTAAGGCTTCCTTTACATCTCCTTGAACTCTCCCCAATACAAGAACTTCATAGGGCTTTTTGTGTAAAGAATCCAAAGGCAATACAAATTCTCCAGCTCTTGTAATCTGACACAAAGGAATTAAAAATACACAGTGGAAGATTTTCATCGCCATTTTTTTCCAAGACATTTGCTTTGATAAAAAGGAAGACACTGATGATACCATATATTTCAAACACAAATGCACATGGTAGTAAATAGAAAAACTGTAAGAATATAAAGTGTCACAGTGCAAGCCCTCTCAGTCTCCAAGAAAGCAACAAAACAAATTGAGAACTTACTTTTACCCAGTGCCACTCAGCAAGTGTTTTCACAGACCAATGAGGATAAAGTTCATCCTTAACAAAACGTAAGTGCTTCTGTCTATTAGTCACCCACGTGACTACAAGACAATTTGGAGCAGCTAGTGCTGGTACGGGAATCTGCTTGATTTGCCCTGAAGACAAGTGGCTGTATCTATATGCCAATACAGTGAGAAAGCAAGTTAGCATATACCAAATATAAAAATTGCAAAGCAACACAAATGGATAAAGAAATTATACAGCCAAGATGTTTCAAGAATTATCTCCTGAGAACACAAGTCAAAAAAATGGATCAAGACTGACATCCAGTGGCCAAATTTGATGGATTCTGATATAAAATCATTAGCATACATACTTAAGTTTTACTGAGCAGAACCTTTAACTAGGTATTTCTACTATTCCCCCAAAGAAAGTATTATGAGTTGTGATCCTGAAGAAGTCTAAAAGCCCATGTTTAATTTAAGAACTATCATATGTAGTTCAATACTCTCATCTTTACGCCAGAACAAAGCTATCTAGTCAAAAGTAGCTCTTTAGTCAATGTAACATTATCCACTTTTCATAATAAGCAATCTCTCTTCCGAATGAAAATGACAAGTGAGTCATGTAAAGTGTGAGGGCAACACTAATTTGACTGGCAAGTTAAAAGGTCATAAGAAAGTAATCATTTCTCCAATTATTTGCAGAAGCTATTCATTATTTTTAAATTATCATTCATGGTAAAAGTTCTCTATGTTATTCAGAACAGTTCCGTACATTTTTGAGCTAACTGTACGCTACATCGGTCAATACAGTATGCTTTCCAGATTCTGTTCTATTCTACCACTTTGCTCATGATGCTATTCTACCCTATTAGTGAGTTGCAATTCATGGAACCTACACAGTGCAGCATCAAAAACATTGGCACACTGTCTACTGGAATCAACAGCCACTGTCTGGGTACCTGGGATCCCTATACGATGCAACAGTGAGAACAACAGTGAAAATTGGGAAATAAGGCTAAAATCCGAAATACCAAAGAAAACAAGATTCACAACCCAAGGTGTGAAATGCTTAACAAATATTAGTCATCAGCAAGGTAACTAACAACAGTGATAGCTCTTCCACCTTTTGCCTTTATTTTGTAAGGGAAAGGGGGTCTTGCTGGCTAATTCATTCTTGTGAACAAATACAGTTTTCTTTTGAGTAACTTACACAGTTAAGACAGACACTTTAATGAGTTTAACTCTGGGTTTCTAGAGGTTTCTGTAGGGCTTTCAAAGTAAAACCTACCCATCTACGTCTTCAAAACAAGCTGCAAAAGCTACAGTAGACATTATGCAAGAAAGTTGTATGGCCATATTTCCTGTCTGCCCTTCTTTCACACTGATACAATTCAATGGTAATCAAGAGAGCTCCACTGGCATAAGCCTGATGTTACTCAGTGGAGAAGGAAGCCCATAAAATTTTAAGTTAATGACTTCATAAACTACAGCACTCAGAAAGTTCCTATTGCACTTAAGGATTTTACTGCTGCATTATCACTTTCTCTCTTCTACCCATCAGACTGAAGCTCAAACTACAGCTCAAATTATAAAAAAAAAAAAAAAAACAAACCAAAAAAACCCCCACAACACACAACCAAAAAAAAACCCAACCAACAAAATTAAAACTTCTAAATTGGACCTCAGCCCTGGCAATACTTGCACATTTATCTAGCTTTATGCCCACTAAAGTAACCCTATTAATTTTAAATTAATATCTGTATGATCTGGGCCTTACAAAACAGTTAACTCCAGGCTTTCCTTGTAAGTCTCAAGGACTACCATTCTCTAACTAGTTAGGTAATTTAAGATCTACTCTTGCAAATATTTTGTAGGCAAAGTATCTGACCCATTTCAGTGAAATTCCCAAGATGTTTCATAGACTTGAAGGTAGGCATATGCCAAAATATTTGCTAGTTTAAGCTACAGTCTCACAGGTATATTGGTTTTGGATTGCATCAGTACAAAAGTTTGTTTGATTTTACTGTAAAATTTACCTGTTACTCCTTTTAACGGATTTGTTCTCCCATGGTGGATCAATCACAATTACATCATATTTCTTCTTGTCTGGGAAGTGAAATTAAAAAAAGAGCCAGTAAATTAGTTTTAAAATAAATCTACTAGTTAAAACTGATAAAGGCTTAGCTACCCACATACAGACAACATTCAAAGAACCAACTATGCAGCAAACCCACAGTTTTCTTCTGTTCTTTCCAAATAAGTTAAAAGGCTTCTAGCACGCTTCTTTTAATTCAGATAATCATATACTTCAGATATTTTTAGGCCGATTACCTAAGGAAAGGATGTTTATGCAATCTGTGTCAGATCCCTCCAAACAATTTTGAACATCCTGGGGACTTTCAGGAAAAAAAACGATAGCAGAGTGCAAGTCCCAAAGATGTAAATTTCTCCGAGTTTCCTAACAGAAGCTATGTAATAAGCCAGGTGTAATAAGCACCCAGCTGAGTAAAAGGCTGCAGCCCTGAATGCAAGATCCTGTCCTGTTTGATCTTTCGGCAGACCAATTGGGACACGCAGAGCTCCCAACCAGCCCCTGGAAAACCAGCCCTTCCAACCAGCCTTCACCAGAGGTGAAGAGACAGAGAGTTAGATGCAGTGTATGAAACAGGAATTAATGGACAAGAGGAAGAGAACTGGAAGAGTTTTCATGGGAGAAGCTGGAGCTGGGTTTACTCTAGTTGGTAGATAGAAGACACAGGAGACATCCATGAAAAAACCGGACTCTCCAATTTTATTTTTTTTCCACAGAACATATTTGTTCCTTCATGGAGTCTGATGCTAATTATTGAAATAACTCATAAGAATAATAGCTTAATATTTAATGTCCATTAAATGTGCTTTCTACATTTTATTCCTTTATTAACATTGGAGGCGTTATCCTGACAGTGGGCTGACTAGTGAGAAATACTTCTCTTTTGGCAGGTGAAAGGGAAGAGGAAAAATAATTCAAATGGACAGTGAAGTTGAAGTTCCTCAAAAAAAAAAAAAAAAAAAAATCTAGAGTCATGGCATTGTACTAACATTCACTGCTGGTTACTTCAAAAGCATTTTCTCAAATTTCTTGGACTGCTCTCTGACCTCTGGGAGAATCCAAGCTTGCTATATGAACAGCTGAGCATAGTGATAGCACTGTGACAGTGATCTTCCTTCTTTCATACAGCTGAAAACAGCTACCTGGCTAAATTCTGCCCTTCAAATACAAAATTATTATTTGGATAGTAAGATTCCACCTCCTGTATGTCTTCTTAATAAAAAATAAAAAAATAGTAATAAAAAAGAATCAGTCAACATCTAAGTTGCATTATTAGAAGTGAGGAAACATGTAACTAACAAATCTAAAATTACTGATTAGAGGGTAGAGCAGTAATCCCCAGCTCTTGCTCACAGGCAACATCTTTCCTATAAGACTGATGAAGCTTAGCTGCTGCTAATAATAATGATAATGATGGTCAAATTGAAAGTTAATGGAATGGTGAAGTACAGTGAAGACTGATGCATGTTGTCAGCTTAAAGCTTTTCCGTATGTCCCATTAGGACTGGGGATACTGGCTTGGATAGCTTTTGATTTAATTTTACAGAGGAGTTACTAATTCTAAAATCCCACAACTTCCCTGTCACTGATTTTAGCTTAAAACAATACTGTGAAATGTAGCAGCTGAGAAGTCAACTCATGTTTGCTACTCATGGGCTGGCTAAAGCGGTGTTCACCTTCAACTAGGTGCAGCAGGCTCTCAACCTGTTATCCTCTCCATGGGACGCTGGGGTTGGTTTCACAATCAGTTTATGCCAGTCTGAATAGACCCTGCTGCTGAACAGGATGAGTCTGGAAGGGATCTCTTGCTTTAAGGTGCCTAATCTCATCCCTCTCCCATGATCTAATCTAGCTAAAACCCAAGACAGCAGGAACACCACCCCAGCAGCACCGTAGACTTCTCTATGTTAAAGCCTCATCCTGTGGGATAGGGACCCAGCAGTATAGCTAGTCCAAATTTAATGCATTTACATAACTTCTATACTGACAGTGGCTCAGAATATGCTCGCAAACTGACATATTTTGGGCTTAATGCAAAATGCCGTGTCTGAGATTTTTAGAGGAGCCTCCTGGGGACAGATAATGCCCCCATGATGTGGGCTCTTAACCATTCAAAATTCCTTTGAAAACCCTCACCTATTTGCACAAAGTTAGAAATAACACTTTGAAAGCTTGCAGCAGCATTTCCTATCAGTGTGATGCTCTATATTAAAATCTGTTCATTGAGTCCTTAGTCATCTTGACATTAACAGCCCTTCTCGGGCAGGAGAGAAGTGGTAATTTCTAATGCCTAAAAATACTTACAGTTCAG